ATTGGTAGATCCCTCCAGGAAAGGTTGACAAAGTTGGGGATGCTTAGAGAAAATTAGTTCACTGTTGCTTCAGAACGTCTGTCCTGAATCAACAGGTTCAAATTACAAGAGGATTTCTGCTAAACATTCCTGATGGTGTGAGCTGCTTGATGGCGGGCCATTCTGCCTCAGAAAGTAGTGGACTCTCCTTCAACAGAAGTTTTTAAGCAGACGATGAATGGCAACCTCTTAGGAATGCTACGGTTATGGATTTCCTGCATCAGTGGGGAGTTGGAAAGGGGGGAGCTGAATGAATGAATGAAACTTTATTTGCGTGAGCTGTCAGCCATAGCAACAAAAACACTGTGATATAATAATAATAATAACAATAATAAAAAATAAAATTTTATTTATATCCCACCCTCCCCAGCCAAAGCCGGGCTCATAGCAGCTAACAACAGTAAAAACAGCACAGTTTACATAAAATCACAGTCAATTAATTGAACTACATTCTAAAATCAGTTCAGAATCAAATTAATGGCAACCATTGGGCTAGAGTTTTATGAGGATTACAGAAGGAGAGAGGGGGTCAGGCTGTGCCTTGGCCAAAGGCCTGGTGGAACAGCCCTGTCTTGCAGGCCCTGTGGAAAGATGTCAAGTTCCGCAGGGCCCTAGTCTCTTGTGACAGAGCGTTCCACCAGATCAGGGCTACGGCCGAAAAAGCCCTGGCTCTGGTTGAGGCCAGCTAACCTCCCTGTGGCCTGCGATCTCCAAGATGTTTTTATTTGAAGACCGTAAGGTCTTCCGTGGGACATACCAGGAGAGGTGGTCCTGAAGGTACAAGGGTCCTAGGCCATATAGGGCTTTACAGGTTAAAACACAGAACACAGAACAAAACACAGAACACAGAACAAAATAAAAAGTCGATTATATAAAACACATTTTAGGGTCCTGAATCAGCAGTCAAATAATGGACCTTATTCTGATTGTCACAGCTAGAAACCTTGCAACCTTTGCAATCATCTGCTCCACTTGATCTGCAAGGAGATTCGGCACTGTGGCAGTGGTTGGGCGACCCAGAATGGTCAATAAAAGAGGTGTGATAATTTCGTTCCTCAGGTCTTTGTAAAGAGTGCACACGAGGAGGGCATGTGTCACTGATTCAGTGCTACCATCGCCGCAGGGACGTGTTTTTCTTATGGAATCTGTTGGAATCGTCCCTCAAGTATAGCCGAGGGCAGTACATTCAGTCTTGCGAGGGTAAAGGGACGTCTATATTTTGGAATTGCTAGATTATACAGATAAGGGTGCTAGGGAGTCAAAATGGGAGGATGGAAAATGGTCATACCATGGGGGAATAGGGGAGCTTTGAAGTTGTTTTCGTACCCTGTGATTCTACGTTTTGCAGTCCATTAATTTGTCAAATCCAGCCTTTTCCAACCAGGTGCATCCTCCAGATGTTTTGGATCACAACTCCTATTGTGGTCAATGGTTGGGGAAGAAGGTACAGTGGTACCTCGGGTTAAGAACTTAATTCGTTCTGGAGGTCCGTTCTTAACCTAAAACTATTCTTAACCTGAGGCACCACTTTAGCTAATGGGGCCTCCTGCTGCCGCCACTTCTGTTCTCATCCTGAAGCAAAGTTCTTAACCCAAGGTACTATTTCTGGGTTAGCGGAGTCTGTAACTTGAAGCGTCTGTAACCTGAAGCGTCTGTAACCCGAGGTACCACTGTATGTATGGGACAGCTGCATATTGGACTCGATGGTCCTCAGGGTCCCTTCTATGCTTCTAAGATAGTGGCCACAACTACATCTAATAGCTATGCACTCTACGAATTGTGCATTGTGGAAAGAATCGCTGAACTGGCCATACCACCAATCAATTTCATTGAAACCAAAGAGTGAACTGATCCCTTAGTGTCCAATGAAATTGACTGCAACAGACAGCCAGATTTGCACGTATGAAACATCTGCCGTACATCAGACCACGATGTCTTGCTATGACAGCTACTTTTCAATAACACTGCAGCAAAGGACACTCTATACTGCTTAGAAGGTAACCTCTGTCTCCGATAATAACCCCTTTCCCAAATGTTCTGCTTCCAATAGCTCTCAGCCTCCAACAGCAGCCTCACCTCTGACAATCCTCCCATTACACAAAAACCGTCATTTTATCAGGGTATATTACCTGTTATTTCTCAGCATGTAGTTGTATATGCCAGAGTTTATAGCAGCAGAAATGAGATTGGAGGAGAATAGCTCATAGGTAGAGTAGATGAGGTCGGGGTCCATCACCCAACCATAGTTAAAATCCTCTCCTTAAATTGTGGTTAATAATTTCAGGCATATTCAGAGTGTTTACTGAACACTCTAGCATACTTGTAACCTTTGAAACAACTACTTTAGAATTCTAATATTGATATGAGGGTGGCAAGGCCAGGGGCTGGAAGAGATCACTAATAAATTCAAAGATAAATTCATATTCTCACCTGCCAGATATTGCTCAGCATTTAAATGTGTATCTATGTTCATTAAAAAGGGATATATCTATTTCTCGAATGGGGTCAGAGCAATGGTCCTGCTATCCCCAAGACCCGACAACCCTGTTATTTTACACAAGTGGTGTAAGGCCAGTGTAGCTTACACTGCAGTTCTACATATCCCTCCTCAGAAGTAAATTCCATTGAGTTCAATGAGACTTACCCCCAGGGGCAGACTTTGGTCTTTCAAATTTCAGCAGCACCTTCTGTGAGGCCAAAATTCAACGCCAACTGCCTCTCGCCTTACGTTCTGCTCAGTTCACTACGTCATAGTTGCAGCGCCCTGCAGCGCCCCCTAGGCTTGGCACCCAGTGCGGCAGAACCAGTGGTGCTGCCCTAAATCTGCGTCTGTTGCCTCCCAGGTAAGTGGGTAAGCCTTTTAAGGTTTAAGGTTTTATTATGTTTTTATATATGTTGGAAGCAGCCCAGAGTGGTTAGGGCAACCCAGTCAGATGGGTGGGGTACAAATAAGAAATTATAATAGTTATTATTATAGGGTTGCCATACGTCCGGGATATCAAAGGCGGAATTGACATCTGGGTGGGGGGGTGGGGTTCCCGAAAGGTGGCACTTTGTCCTGGATCTTAGGCATGAAAATTGGTTTTTGTTGGGATGCGTCCAGGGAAGCGGGGGCAATTGGCAGGCCTCCGGATGGCTCCAGCCCACCAGCCAGCAGCCGGGCGATCTCCAGTCCTTGGCTCAGCATGTAACTGCAACTCAAGCTTCAGAAGCCTTCAGAAGCTGAGCACGCAAGCCAGCAGAGATAAGAACTCTTTGCAACAGAAGGGCAGATAGAGGCCGTGTAAAGCGTATTTACAGGCATTTTATTCAGCATCAGGACCAAGGGAAAAACATGTCTTTTCCCCTTCGTGTCCAAGCAAACAGCATAAGCAAAAGCTATACACACAACAGTTCCCAGCAGGCTGTGCTGGAATGTAAACAGACATGTGACACGTAACAGTTCCACACGTCTGTTCCTCTTAAGTTTGAACGGAATATCGTAACAGTTTTTACTATATCATTATGGCTGTAGCAGTGCAGATTCTGGGCCTTCCCAAAATCCAACAGAACTGGATTGCACTGTTAGCTGCATTAGGTAAAAAAGATAAAGGACCCCTGAACAGTTAAGTCCAGTCAAAGGCGACTATGGGGTTGCAACGCTCATCTCGCTTTCAGGCCGAGGGAGCCGGTGTTTGTCCACAGACAGCTTTCCGGTTCATGTGGCCAGCAGGACTAAACCACTTCTGGCACAATGGAACATTGTGATGGAAACCAGAGCAGCACACGGAAACGTTGTTTACCTTCCCAACACAGCAGTACCTATTTATCTGCTTGCACTGGTGTGCTTTTGAACTGCTAGGTGGGCAGGAGCTGGGACAGAGCAGCGGGAGCTCACTCCGTCACGAGGATTTGAACTGCCGACCTTCTGATCGGCAAGCCCAAGAGGCTCAGTGGTTTAGACCACAGCGCCACCTGCTCCCACCTGCATTAATATCACCTAGGCTGCTATCCTAAGGGCACTTGCCTAGGACTAAAGGTAAAGGTAAAGGGACCCCTGACCATTAGGTCCAGTTGTGACCGACTCTGGGGTTGCGGCGCTCATCTCGCTTTATTGGCCGAGGGAGCCAGCGTACAGCTTCTGGGTCAAGTGGCCAGCATGACTAAGCCGCTTCTGGCGAACCAGAGCAGCGCACGGAAACACCGTTTACCTTCTCGCCAGAGTGGTACCTATTTGTCTACTTGCACTTTGACGTGCTTTCGAACCGCTAGGTTGGCAGGAGCAGGGACCAAGCAACGGGAGCTCACCCTGTCGCGGGGATTCGAACCGCCGATCTTCTGATCGGCAAGTCCTAGGCTCTGTGGTTTAACCCACAGCGCCACCCGCGTCCCTAGGACTAGACCCCAGTAAATGCAGTAGGACTTTCTTCTGGATAAACATGCGTTCAGATTGTGCCGCAACTTCCTCGTTTTAGGAGAATAAAAGAAGCCTTGTGGGTTTTCACTCTTTGCTCACAACATACACAGCCATTGCTCTAGTTTTCTTCCTTCTCCAGTGTAGTAGTCTCAGAGCTGTCTCTCTCTTTATTGACAGGTCAGATCTAGATGACAAGCAGCTGCTTGTACCGCAATCCTTCTAGGGCCACACTGCTGCCCCATCCACCAGGTGTCTAAGGTAAGCCGCTGAGATATACAATTCAATGGCATATTTTATGTCAGTGGAATTGGCAGGCAGCCTCCACCTGACTCTTGACCCCAAGCTTCCCTTTGGCTCGGTCTATCTCTCTAACCACCTGCTTTCCGCTTTTTATCAGCTTTGAAATATTGCTGAGATAAAGTTCCACCCCTGGGCCAGTGCTGTGACCTTCATTCTTGCTTGCTGCTTTTCAAAAAAAAAAGAAAAAAAGGTTGCTTACACTCAAAGCTTTTATAAGCTAGCTTCCCAACAAACTCTCTGCATACCTGTGAAGTGAAAAATCCGATGGCATCCAAGCAGGCTTAATGCCCAGTTCTATTGTCACATTGCAACAGCAACAGCCACTATGCTAACTAATGGCATAATGACCGCATAGCAAAGTCGCAGTCGGGGAAGCTTGGAGAATTTGATTCTTGTGAATTCTGACAAGAACGATATGATCCGCACCTCCCAGCAGAGGTGAGATTTGCAACACAGTTATCCATGGGAGTTTACACTTCTCCAAATGCTTTGATGTAATAAAATAAAATAAAAATCAATATTGTAATGATAAGAGTTTCTAATTTAGAAGTATTCCTTTTAATATTAAGAAGTTGGTAATGTGAGAACTTACCCACAAGTTACATGATCCAGCCAGTTGCACAAGTTTGTCTTGGAGACTCTGGAGAATAAAATTGTTTCAGATGCGCTGCTTATTCCTTTTGCCGGAACCATTAAAAATATGTGTTTAAAAATGCATATTCTGTAATAAATACATTTAGGGATGTGTACTTAGAGATAAAATACATAGAGAAATGACTATGCCAAGAGAAAGCACATATTTTAAAAATGCATATTAAAGGATATATTTAAATATAGCAGCAAGTCTATAGCACAAAGCTAATGTAGCACCACTGATATACACCCCGCACAGTGTTGCCAATAGCTCAATCTCCCAGCCAAAATGTTGTGCACTAACAATGCTATCCGTGAAGGAAGGTGCCAATAAACACAGTAACAGCAACGCTATGACATCACCCAGTTCGGACATACTGTCCAATCACAGCACACGAGTAAGCAGCCATGTTACCAAAGGCAATCCCCAGGGATATGGGGAGCACATTCCAGTGCCTTTGTTCTCAAGAGGGGGAGATCAGCTGAGGTTCCACTTATCACTTTAAGAGAGCCAGACTGAGGCACTGCCCAGATTCCAGTCAGTGGGGAATACTTCCCTGAAAATGCCTGCAATGAAGTACAACCATCCGCAGACCCTAGTGTCAGGGACGTGCCCCCCCCCCCGAGTGCAGGGGATGAGTTAGACTCAGAGATTGAACTAAATGAATGAGGGTCCGACTCTGCAGAGGAGAACTGGCTGTCAGAATTGAGAAAGGGCAGTTCGACTCCCCCTTCCCAGAGAAGACTCTATTAGCTCTCAAGGAGAGGAAGAGGTGGAAGGTAGCCAGAGCTTTGCTAGGCAACCAGCAGATAAGCAGAGGTCTGAGTCTGCGTCGAGTGGGAGTGAGGAGGAGGGGGAGGACAGCCTCTCAGTCCCCGATTCAGGCACCTGGATAAAATCAGAAGGCGACGGAAGGGCAAGAGGGGAAAGGCGGGAGTCTGGCGTCCTTCCTGCTGTGGGAGGAGTGAAACGTCAGGCTGACCAACAAACATAAATGCGAGCAGGTGAAATGCCGTGCTCTGGATGTGTCTTTTTGTAAAATAAATGTACATAAAACTGCCGGAGGGTCATTACTTCTTATTGGGGCTCGATTGCCTGCCAGAGATCATTACACCTAGGAGCATCTCTCCCCTTTCCTTAGCAAGTAGGGGGCACACAATTACATACCCTCCAACAGCCAGGTGATCCAAATCAGGACACGGGGGTTTTCTGTCCCAAGCTCTCACAGGAGCCAGCAGACTTGCACAAGACCAAAAAATGAACATATTTTGGTCCAGAGAGCCAGACAAAAAAAATGGGACATTCAAGGATCCAATCAAAAGCTGGGTTTGTTTCTGTGATTCTAGGATGTCCCACTTAAATCGGGATGGTTGAGCACTATGCATTCATTTTTAACACAAATAAATTCTGGTACAATTGAGATGTTTAACAATAAAAAGTTTCACTAATTTGCACCAACATTTCAAAGTAAGATCACACCAAGGACATGATATTACATCATTCCACTTATAGACATATGAACGAACCAACCAACGAATGACTGAATGAAATTATCCCTTTATTCTCCAGGGGCAATTTGTTTATTACTCCCTTTTTAAAATCACCGATTAATATTATTCTAATGCATGTTGCACGATTACTGTTTGATCGTTCAGACTGTAAAGACTTCATATGTTTGCATCCGTAATCAATTTCAGAGAAAGTTATTTTTAAAAGTAACATCCCTCAACTTGAATTTTACATCCGTGGGGAAACTAGGCATATCACAGGAGTGGGGAAACAGAGAGCAAATGCACACCCAGAACTCTGCAAAGGGGAATCAGGTATGAGGAAGCTGCTCAGAGACAGGAGGCGCAACAGCAAAGTGGGAAGAAGGGTGAAGTGCTCCTACCATGCTGTTGCTTCTCACCAAATCATCTCCTCAGAGAGCTGCTTTTCCCTCACAGAAGCAACTGTGCTGGTTCTGTTGCCGAAGTTTGCAAGCAAGGTGTCATTCCACCTTTCGTCAAGACTTTCACAGCTTTCATGGAACAGGTTTCTGTAGGTGGTTCTGAGTGAAGAGTTTCTTCCAAGTATCTGAGCTGTGATATGAAAGACCTTGCAGATTTTTTGCAAAGAAAGAAGGGAGAGTGATATTGGAAGTTTAATATTTATTATTCAATCAGAGAAACAAAATGGAGAATGCCGGGGATGATTGAATCTGTCTCTCTTTCATTTTCTCCCCAATCTTAAGTTCAGTTTTCCACTTCTCCATATTAGTCAGTGAATTCATTCCTTAAAAAAAAATCTACATGAAAATTCATCAACACCTTCGTGCGAATTTCTCCTCATGTGCACATTTGTGCTCAATGTACACATTTTTGCAATGCATTTTCCCCATAATAGAAAGCGTTTTGGTATGTAATTTCACTGATATATGCATTTTAATGCACGTTTTACCTCCGTATATGCCTTTTTGTGCATATTTCTTGGCTGTAGAACTGCAGCCCAAGATTCGGAGAAGGATGGCTGTGTTTCGATTCGTTTATCATTTTAGAAAGTGTGAATTAGGTACCTTTAAGTCATCTTTAAATGCAGCAGAAGACACATTTCTCCCCTAGCCCTACTGTAACCAGTATGCAATGGGGAAAATGTTGTGCCCAAGAGAGAATACTAATGACACTAGTTATTGATTACTGGTTTGTTTTATTATTATATGTTGATACATAAGCACATTGTTTACTTAGGTTTATGGACCTTGAAATTAAGGGGTGGCCTGAAATGGATAAGAGTAGCCTTGCATCTAGGATAGTTTTGCATAACTGTGATCAGTGTGTAGTTTGTGCTCTTATTAAAATGTGAACATTGTGTATATTGTGAAACTATCCTGTGGGCACTCGTTTTGAATCGTTTGATTACAGAAGACCTCGTAGAAAACGTGGCTGGAAACTCTGGCAAACAACTTATGCTATCACCAAAAACATTTCTTGAACTAGTGCAATTATGTACCTGCATTGTGGTATCTCCTTCACACTAATGTTTCTCTGTGTACGTACCCAGCCATGTGCACAATCTTGCAGGGGAAATTGTATATTTCTGAATTTTTAGTTTGCTTTTGTCTAATGCTGTGAAGCAGTTTATAAATCTGTAAAACATATGAAATAAGTTTTACTTTAATATGTGAACTTGCCTTATTTTCCCACATCTTCATGTGTTTTTGTCTCCTATCTCTTGCATTGTGAAATTATATGGCCTCGGTCCTGTATACCTGAAGGAACGTCTCCACCCACATCATCCAGCCCAGACACTGGGGTCCAGCGTCGAGGACCTTCTGGCTGTTCCATCGCTGTGAGAAGTGAGGTTACAGGGAGCCAGGCAGAGTGACTTTTCGGTAGCGGCACCTGCCCTGTGGAATGCACTCTGTGAGGTGAGTGAGGCTGAAAGACTTCAAAGAATTGTGACTAGCCCAAGGTCACCCAGCAGCTGCATGTGGAGAAGCGGAGATTACAAGTCTACCACTCTTAACCCGGTTCACCAGATTACAAGTCTACCACTCTTAACCACTACACCACACTGGCTCTCAGTGCCTGAGTAGGCAAGGTCAGCCCAAGACTAGTAGGCTGCCTAGGCAAATGTTCATGCAATTCAGTGGCTTACCCAAACCCAAAGGCTTCTGATTTGAGCCCTGGCGCCTACTCAGCAGCCACATTATAAACAATGGCAACATTAAAGCCATAGATAATTGAATCAATTTACTAATGGAGCAAAAGAATGGAAACAAAACCTGTGTCTAAAGAGGAGCACGCAGAATAGAATGCCAACAGCTAGGAAATGCCTTCCTCAATGGAAAAAGTCTTCACCCGATAGTAAAACGAAAGCCAAGATGTGGACAGATGGATCTCTTGGGGGAGAGCATTATGCACATGAAATCATGACAAAATATACATCACCACATGGCAGTGTACATTATTTGTACACAACATTTCCTACTACATTTCTGCCATCTGTGAAGTCGTCTTTATAGCGTTGCCCAAGAGCAGAGGGTTTGCCTGACCACATGTTATAAAGAAATGGTCATCACTGGGATATTTCTTGAACGGCCAGATGGTTGATGGTCCAATTGCACTTGTGTGTGGGAGTGCTGACATCTAGTGTCCACCTACATACATAATAGGTCAATTAAGTCAAAGAGTTATTAGGCCAAACAGTTCAGTCATAAACAATGATGGTAGAATTCCAGAAGTCCCTTGGGAGTTAGGGAAAGAAGCCCACATTGGATAAAATCTGCTGCTGAGCAACAATGTCACATTTTGAACTTCTTATGCAGGCCGGTGTTATTATTGGAAGGCCCTACAAAGCTTAACATTGATCTCACGCATGTCCTCTTAAGTACTTTAATGATTCTCCGCAGATGGGGATACAATGGAGATTCAGAAGGATAAAAGCATAATCCATAGACTGATCATGCTGTACAGATCATGAAGGTCATCTTGTGCGGACTCTCATGAGGTGGGTTCCCCCAGACTCATCTATAACGCACATTACAAGCTGTTAGAAGAAGAGAGTAGGTATTGGCAAGGAGAAAAAACAACCTGGGCGGCTCAGGTAAATGAATCTGCTTATATGTTGTAGATGAATACACAGTTCATCCTTTCATTCTTGCTGCTCTCCATCAATGTTCTGTGAAGAAGCAGTGAAGTTGCTGCGTCTTCAATTATTTGCAACATTTCTATGCACCCCTCCATCCTGATCAGATTTCAGAGCAGTGTGCAGTCAACACAAATCGTAACACAGAGAATAATCACAAAAAACAAATAAAAACCCTTAAAGTAAATCTATAATTTGAGAATTTAAAATGTCCAGTTCAATAAAACATATTTTTTTCTGGTGCTCAAAATATAACATGGGGGGGGGGCTCTTTTTGGGAGGATATTCCACAACCAGGGCACCAGTATTGACAAATCTTCTCCTTTGTTAAGGAGCACACCTCAAACAAGGGAGGTCCCTGGAGCAGGGCCTCAGCAGATGATCTTAACACACGATGTTGGGAAAAGTGCTTGTTCGGTTATGTGAGCCCAAGGCCATTTATGGCTTTAAAGGTGAGTACGTGCTCCTCAAATTGGGCTCTCATAGAACACATGAGGGGGTTATCTCACTGAATCATAGAGTTGGAAATGACCCTGAGGATCATCTTGTCCAGGGGTAGGGAACCTAAGGCCCGGGGGTCGGATGCGGCCCAATCGCCTTCTCAATCCGGCCCGCAGATAGTCCAGGAATCAGCATGTTTTTACATGAGTAGAATGTGTCCTTTTATTTAAAATGCATCTCTGGGTTATTTGTGGGACATAGGAATTCGTTCATATTTTTTTCCAAAATATAGTCCGGCCCCCCACAAGGTCTGAGGGACAGTGGACCGGCCCCCTGCTGACCCCCGACTTCTCCAACCCCCTGCAATCCAGGAATTTGCAGCTATCCCTTACGGCAGTGTTTCTCAACCTGTGGGTCTCCAGATGTTGTTGGACTACAACTCCCATCATTCCTAGCCAGCATGACCAGTGGTCAGGGATGATGGGAGTTGTAGTCCAACAACATCTGGGGACCCACAGGTTGAGAAACATTGCCTTACGGGGATTGAGTCTGCAAGCTTCACAGTGTCAGCACCATGCTCTAGCCACCTTAACTCAGATCAGAACCAAGCAGGCAGCCAACGGAAGACTGGAAAAATGAGAAACAGAAACCAAAGCTGAGAGATTCCTCTATCCCTAGCTTGGAGAGAAGGTGCCTTTTTACCACATTGCCTCTGGCATTAAAATATCCCAGGTCCCACACTGCCACTGTCAAAGAGACACATTCTCTTCAGCTGCGGAAACCCCTATTCCAAAAGGGAAAAGGAAAAAAACCTAGCAAGCAAACCTCTGGCTACATACAGATTTCTAAAATTTATATCCCTCATTTTGGCTTCACACCAAAGGAGGAGAGAGAATGTATTTTTATAAGGTTTTTTTGTTGTTGTTGTAGAAAAACGATGACCCAACATGGCAGCACTACTTTTTGTGGTACCCATTGCCACCAAGGCCTCAGAAAAGGTGTGAACAATCACCATGGCAATAATAACATCCGAATGACCCCTCGCAGGAGATTTATTCAAGAGCTTTTTTTTTTTTACCCAGCTGCTGCTACAGAAGACGCCTTCCCACAAAATGTTATTTTTCATTGTTCGCCTCAGTGCAAGAACGACAGCTGATTTACTGGTTTCACCCAAAGCGCGGAAACATAATTTTCTTTTATTGAGCTCACTGGGGGTAGCCGCTGCTCTCTCAAAAAATGCAGATGGTCATCTTGTTCTTATTCATCCTGAGAGGATGAACGTGGGTGTGCTGCTCAGGTAAGCAAAGAAACAGCCACTTGTAACAGCGTGATCAATGGGCAGCGTTAACTAACCATAGTTAGCCATCTTCAGCACGGCCTCTATAAATTGCTGTTTCACAAGGACTTCAGGAATATGCATCATTAGCAATGATTTACAACGTGTATGCTCTGTCATCCAGTCAGTAGTAATATACTTGCAGCAAATAGACAGCAGGAAATGTTAGTCTGCAGAATACCTCGAGTCACAGCCAATTTTGCTTTGTATTTGTTGAATATATTGCAGTTAAGTGATTCAATTCTTTTTGCACACTATTTCCCTCCTCTCTCCCCACAAGCAGTTGTTTCCCAGAGCCCCTTCCTTTGTTCCTATGTTGTTTAACTACTTTAAACTTCGAATATGTCTATCCTGTTGCATGGACGCGGGTGGCACTGTGGGTTAAACCACAGAGCCTAGGACTTGCTGATCAGAAGGTCGGCGGTTTGAATCCCCGCGACAGGGTGAGCTCCCGTTGCTCGGTCCCTGCTCCTGCCAACCTAGCAGTTCGAAAGCACGTCAAAGTGCAAGTAGATAAATAGGTACCACTCCAGTGGGAAGGTAAACGGCATTTCTGTGCGCTGCTCTGGTTCGCCAGAAGCGGCTTA